TATTTTCAGATCTTCCGAGTCAGACTAACTTGATCACGTGCGACCTGAAATTGACAACCGAAGAGCCTGTGCGGGTAAGGCAACATGCGTTGCCATTTTCCGTCTAAGAGCCAGTCGGAAAGGAGATTTCGGAAATGCTCCGACTGGGCGTTATTGAACGGTGCACGTCACCGTATATTGCGCCGGTTGTAATTGTTAGAAAGAAAGACGGTTCTAACAGGTTTTGCGTTGATTACAGGAAGTTAAGCGACGTGCTTAAGGATGACGCAGAGCCGATTCCAAGGGCGGACGTCACCTTCGCCAAGGTGGGCCGTAAGAAATATTTCTCTAAGCTGGATCTATCGAAGGGATACTGGCAGATCCCGATGGAGGATTTGGCCAAGGAGAAGACAGCGTTCTCGTCGAGTAGCAAACTTTACCAGTTTAGGTTCATGCCTTTCGGGCTCAAGACTTCCTCTGCTACCTTCACTAGACTGATGAGAAAATTGCTTCATAAAATTCCGGAGGCCCATTATTTTATCGATGACATTCTCATCGCCTCGGATACGTGGACGCAACACATGAGAACGTTGCAGACAGTTTTTGATCGGTTGCAAGAAGCTAACATCACGGCTCGGCCGAAGAAATACGAGATTGCATTTGCAAAGACGACCTTCCTCGGTCATGAGTTGGGTGGAGGACGAGTCGCACCCCACGCGGAGATCCTTGGAAGGATGCAAGACGCGCCAAGGCCGGTGACAAAACGTCAAGTGAAGTGGCTTTTCGGGCTGACCGGCTATTACCGCGATTTCGTCCCAAACTACGCGGGTCTTGCTACACCACTGCTGGAGCTTACGAAGAAAGGAGAACGAAATCAAGTTGAATGGGGGTCAGCACAGGAGGAGTCGTTCGAGAGACTGAAGGACTGCTTATCGAGACCACCCATCCAGTTGGCGCCAGATCCCGACAAGGAATTCGTTTTGAGGACGGATGCATCTGATGCATGCCTGGGCACAATATTGCTCCAGGAAAGTGAAGGACTGTTGCATCCAGTGGTATATGCAAGCAGAACACTGGGAAAATCGGAGAAGAATTACGCCACCGTAGAGAAAGAGTGTCTGGCGATTGTTTGGGCCGTGGAGTGATTTAGGTTATTTTTATATGGCAGAAAATTTCGCATACAAACGGATCACCGAGCTTTGGAGTTTTTGAACAAAGCGAAGCACTCCAACAGTCGCATATTGCGATGGAGGTTATCATTGCAGGAACAGGACTTTCACATCGAATACATTAAGGGGAAAGACAATGTTGGAGCAGACTTCTTAAGTCGTCTAGAGAGCTAAGCCGTCGGGGGATATTCGTTCGTAAAGGCAGGACACAGGGTTAATGAGACCCATTAGGATTTTTTTTCGTTTTTGTTGTTGAGTTAGGTCAGGACAAGAGTGTGTTGCCCATGTGATTTGTACGAGCAATTAGGGACGCGAGAGTGTAACCACGGTTTGTTTTCGTGATTTGGGCGATACTAATTTTTGTGATGTGGAAACGGCATACGTGCGTGACTGCTAAGGACCAAGTGTGGTGGTATTTTTTAATGTGGCGCGGTCACTATAGCAAGCCATCGAGGAGGTCGCCTTCGTGAAGAAACTTCATATTGTAAAGTTCTCGAAGTGAGGGGGGTGTGTCACGTGCCCGTGACGATTATTACGGGTGGAAGAAGAAAAGAAGCGGAAGGGAACGAGCGCGTTCCAGAGAACGGCGAGCGCGTTTCAGAGGACAGCGAGCGCGAAAATAGAACGGCGAGCGCGAGAGGAGAAGCAGCAGTGAAAGCCAGGGTCGGGCCGCGACGTACGGTGACGACCAGAGCTCGGAGGGAGGACCAGCCGCTACGGTCGGCGACGCCTGCTACGAGCAACTCCAGGGGGAGTACGAGACACCGGCTTCTGCATCATCACATCAAGCGGCGACGCGTAGCAAAGGCACCGAGGCGAAAGACTTGAACTACACCTGCCTACACCTCCGTGGTTACTGCGTCGCTTTATAAGAAACAAGTTGCCCCTTTGCCGTACTAGTGTGGCAAAGGCAGATGTGACACCGAATGTGACGTGTTAGGGTGGTGCCAAGGGCCGGCAGAAGTAGGCGGCCCAGGATTAGCGCATGTACGGCCGTACTGGGAAGAACTCCAGAGCCGCCACGAGATTGCAGCTTTCCTTGTAGAGCGCAACCCGCTCGGCCGGGGACGAAAGAGCACACTTCCGAGGCTCCGTGCACACGGCTGGCCTCGCAGCCCCGTGTCGGGCTCGGTAAGCGCGCGGTTTCTGTTTTACTTGTCTGTGCCATCTTCCGCGGAGACAATGTGACCTTCTTGGAGCCTGCTGCAGTGCGAGATGCAGTAGACAGAGTGTATCCGAAATTGGAATCTAGCAGCAAGGTAGAGAGCCTAGATTTCAAAAAGTTTCAAACTGTTCGTTCTCGACCACATGATTTACGGTAATCCCTCATTATAATCAAGTCCATGGGGCAACAAAGAAAAATTTGATATAAGCGGTAATTCAATAAAAGCAATTGAGCCAAAAAAACAGTGCCAGCAGCCTCAGAGGTGGACGGGAAAAATGCGCAACACTCTTGCTGTATATGTAACCTTGGTTATGAACATCTTGCAGCAGTTTACCGAGCAAAAAAATAATTAAGTGGAGTTTGCCGATAACTTCATCCGGGCATCCGTTCTCCTCAAAGTGCTCCAGGCGCCGCAAGAACACTGTCACAGCCGCTGCACTCCACTTTGTTTTGAAGCAGCCGTAGGATGTTTCGTGTCTCCGCAGTCGTCAGTTTTCCAAGGTGCCCCTCCGACGTTGCTTCGTGTTAACCCTGGCCGCACGCAAAGTCTACAATCGCACAATCCGTGGCAGCAGCAACAACGAGAATGTCCGTATCGACTGGCGTGAACGAATCAAAGCTATCCTCGGTAACTTCGCCGACATGTTTTCACACACTCCAGTAGAGATCACTGCAGCTATGGAGATAGTGCGCCGGCTCGGCAAGGATACTGGCGAGAGAAATTCCGATGTGCGCGAAGCAGTTGGGGATCTTCGGGCCGCGGGTGCGCTTTCTCTTCCATGAGAAACTTCTCGAACCTGTCCAATGTGCCTCGCTTGTTCCGCAGTATGGTGGACATAGTCAAACAGCTGATGCCAGGTCAAATTCTTTGGCGATTTCGGACTTGGGCCAGCCACTTTTCTCAACCTGGCAGATCTAAGCGACTTTCGGTATACACTCCCAATCTCCCATACGATGCTCGCGTGTGTGCCTCAGGCGTGTGTCCTCCCTAAGGGATGGTCTCCTCTGGGCTCCATCGTTCCCTTGACCCCATTCCGACAGGAGTCGGGCAGCGTCGGCCACGGGCACTGCGAGTAGCGTCGGATCGTTGATGCTGCTCCCTGCCCGCACCCCTGTGTCGGCCCATCGGCATCGGAAGCGGCGCTCTGTGAGCTCTGCCCTCTGTCACCATTCACTCCCGTTTTCCCAGTTTGCTGCAGTGGAGAAGAGGGCATGCAAGGGTATCCCTTGTGGCTCCGGGTAGGCTTGTGTGGTTTCGGCACCTCAGTCTTCGTATTAAGTGTGGTCGGCCGCTGATACATTTAGAACAATTCCCCTAAAAATGCGTGCATTTCAGTCGGGCCAACTTCGATAAAAGCAATAATTCGAAAAAAGCGATTTTAGTCCAACGAGGGAATACTGTGTTTTTGCAATACGAGATACAAGGAGGAGTCTCCTGCTTTCCTGCGCGCCACACAATTACGCGGCGCATGCACAATTCTGGCCAATCTTCGCGGGAGGTGTTTGCCATTAAATAGCAAACGCTCCCTACTAGGCTCTCTACAGCAGCGAGTAGAGCTTGCGGCCAAATAGAACCTAACACTCGCAATATCTCAAGTGTAATACACCACAGACTTTTTTTCCTCTGCTTTTCTGTGAGTGTTTCTTGCATTCTTTGTATAGCCTGGAGTGCGCTCGTTTCACGAAGCAACGGCGACTGTCTGAACGCGTGATGTTTTTTTCTTGCCAGGAGTTAGACGGAGGCACTCGAGCGAGAGGTTTAGCTGGCACTGGTGTCTAATCGGTGAAGAGACAAGCGCTGCATCCGTGTTCAGCTGGCAGTCGGCCTGTCCACTTCCTTTGCTGGCACTTAACTGGATATGGTTCTGCACTAAAAATGGTTCTGGTGTCTTCCGTCAAAAGAGTAAATATTTTGATGGGGATGTCAAAATTATTTTATAAATATTTTCGCATCTTTGGAAAGTGATGTCACGGACGTAAAATCGTAAAATTCATTCGACGGTAAGCGTTGAAAGAGTCACTAGCAAAATTACTTCTACAGATGCCCAGCATAGCTAATTGAGACGATTTGTAAATATTCTTGCTAATATGCATATATCTTTTCTTCAGTCAGGAATGATTAATGCAGCTTGTTAGGGTATTTAGCCTGACATACTCGCCCATAATATAATATGGAAAATTTTGATTTCGAAAATGGTAATTCACAAAGTTTCTTTTTAAATACACGAGGCGCCCGCGTGCACCATCCCGCTTTGAAAGTCTGCTTTCCTCCTAAGCACGCGACTGCAATATTCGTGCTCTTCGAGGCGTTGATCGCGGCAGGTTAGCCCCGTTGAGCACGCTTTTTATTGAGCACCGCTGCACTGCGGAGAAGCAGCAGTCATGGAAATGAGCTCTGCAAGTGGTGCTTCTTCGCATTGCGCCGGCGCTGGGTGCGCGATAACACCTCGAAAAATACAAATATCGCAGTTCACCTCGAAGCAAGTATTGAATAGCGTATTATTCGAAACTATTTTCCAAATTTTAATATTTGCGCAAGTCGTCAAACACTGAGGTCATTAGTAGTTTTTAGATCTGGGCATGCGCCATGAAGCGTCAAGTTAGATGAGCCACTGGGCAACAAGGAGGAAGCATACCGAAACGGAAGCTGCCTAAACGGAAAGATTGCTTGGCACCATTCCTCCTACTGCAGGTAAGAAAACCAGCGGTTGGGAGGAATAGGCAGTCCCGTTCACCCCGCAGCCTTGGGTGGCAGCCTCGCAGCTGACCCGCGTGCAGCAAGGGTCCACCAAGATGCCCTGCCCGCAGCCGGGCTGGGGGCACAGCACGCCTCCCGCCTGCAGCACAAACTCCTCGGCCGCAAACCGCTGGTAGCGTTGGTACTGCAAATCCGGAAGAACGTCTGTACGTTTGGGACCTTTTCTGCGCCCTAAACTGTGGTTTCTCTTTTCTGCCCGACGCTGTGGCAGAAGTGTTCTTGCCTATCCCTTGGGGAGCACAAAGAGGCGGAAAGAGTGCTGGAGCAGGGGTGGCCAAACAGCGGCTAGCCTCGGTAAGCCCCCCTTCCCCTCCTGTGCCCCAAGATGGAGAGTTCTAGGATTTAAAAAACTCCCAGTCTCGGCAGCTTTGCACTACACTATGTGCATACATAGTGTACTTGGTTTTATTTCTAAATTTTGTGTTTTCCTTCAATTTTTTGGTTTTCCTCCAATTCTTAGGAGTTCAAGGTCTTAGCGTCATGGGCATCTCATAACTATTCGTTGCTCATTGAAAGAACTGTGTGTGTTTGTCTTACGTGTTTTATTCTTTCTGCGTGTTCTCTAGTTTTTCAACCTGCTCTGCTACGTGTGCAGTCGCCGACCGATTGTTGGACTTCGCAGGGACCGAAAACACGTACGAATAATAGGGCAGTCCAAAAATCAGCAGATTCAAACACTTGCCTTTATTACTTCCAAGTGGGCTCACAAAAGCCGTAAATAATGCCTTGCTTCAGGTTACGCCTCCGTTTGTGTTCGGCAACTTTCTGTTAGCTTGAGAATCTGTGATAATCCACGCCAGGCACGCTGCCGGAGTCAAGGTCAGGGACAACATTCCAAATCGAGGACGTAGACCGCACTGACTGGCCCAGTCAGGCATCGTCGTCGTCGTCTGTTTATTTACCACCGCGGTGGCGCCCTCGCGTGTACAACGCAAGGTATCACACCCCTCCCACCCCTAATAATGAAAGTTAGTGGAAACTAAGAGATATAAGGAAAGGTTCGTGAAAATGAATCAACGTAATTACGGAGAGTAGCGCTGCACAGGCCGACACACCCTGGTGCCCCGACGGGGAGGTGTGGTGATAGTCGTTTGACGAGGAGACGCTGTGCTTTCTGCAGCCCTTGGCTGCTGTTGTTCATCAGCTGGAACCTCTGGGCAGGTGGGTTCAGGCGTCTGATAGGAGAGGTCAGGTGCCAGAACAAGCTGTGCCGTTTTGGACATGTCAGGACCAGTGCCTGGAATGTCAGGGTCCTTCTCAATGTCTGCAGCTGTTCCAGCATGTCTACTATAATAAACTTGCGGCAACCGGTTCGCCTGTCCGAGATGATCATGGTGGCGCGTCCACTGTCGCCCGTCAGCCAGCTGGAGGTCCGATGAATATGTTCCCTGGGCGGTGACCACAGCCGGCATCCATGCAGGGCCTGGACGAAAGTTCTTGGCGAATACTTGTTCACCAGGCTGTGCTTGAATCCGAGGTTTCGTTCTTTTGTCACATCTGATTTTCTGCTGAAGCTGCTTCTGCTGCACCGTGATCCTCAGGTCAGGTCGAAGCAGGTCCATCGCAGTCTTAATTTTTCGCCCCAGCAATAACTCGGCGGGGCTGCAACCCGTGACCTCATGTGGCGTCGATCTGTAAGTGATCAGCATGCGCGCAATTTGTGTACGAAGGTCCCCCGGTCCAGCCTTCTGCAACTTCCTTTTTACAGTCTGAACTGCACGCTCTGCAGCGCCATTAGACGCTGGGTGGTACGATGGTACCAGTATTCGTCTCACTCCATTCTTCTTCAAAAATGTGGCATACATGTCGCTCACAAACGCTGGACCATTGTCTGACACTACAATGTCCGGCGAACCCTGGTTTGCAAACATGGCTCGCAGACACGTGATGGTGGCCTCCGCAGGCGGAGTTGAAACCGGAAATACCTCAATCCACTTGGAAAAGGCATCAACTGCAATAAAAAAATAAGTGTTGCGGTAAGGCCCTGCGTAGTCAACATGAAGTCTCGACCAGGGTCTGTCTGGGAACGGCCATGGCATGACGGGTATTGGCCGTGATGCTCGCTGCTGCTCCTGACAGGTGGGAGACTCTTGCACAGCCGCAACAATATCATCGTCTATTTTAGGCCACCACACGTGGCTCCGCGCTACAGCCTTCATCTTGGATATCCCTGGATGGCTTTCGTGAAGAAGCCTCAGGACGTCGCGTTGGAGAGATGCAGGAACCAACACGCGGTTGCCCAAGAGCACACAGTTGCCTTGTACACTCATCTCTGTGAACCGCGTCTCGTACGGTTTTTCCTCTGGTCCCAAATCCGACCGGCGGCCAGTGCACAAGGCCTCTCTCACTCGTGAAACCACTGGGTCCAGGGCGGTGGCCTCAGCGACAACTGTTGACGACAGCACACGTGGGTACAACCCTGCCAGCATGAAGACTTCAGCAGGGCAGTCCACGGGAAAATCTGTTGTTGGCGGTGGCAGACGACTCAGTCCGTCCGCATGTACGATATGGCTACCAGGCCGGTAGCTCAGCTTATAGCGGTACCCAGACAACAGCACGGCCCATCGCAGCACCCTTGGAGAGCACGACTCTGGAACAGGCTTGTCCGATGCGAGCAGGCCCAGTAGCGGCTTGTGATCTGTGATGGCTTCAAATGGTCGGCCCGACAGGTATTGCCTGAATTTCGTTACTCCGAACACGAGGACCAGCGCTTCTTTGTCCAGCTGGCTGTAGTTTTTTTCCGCAGCTGCAAGGCTTCGAGATGCAAAAGCAATGGGACGCTCCTCCCCCGACGCTTCTCGCTGTGCCACGGTGAGGCATCCGTGATCAGCACCCTCGGCCTTGCAGGGTCGAAATGTGCTAAGACTCCAGCGGATGCCAGCAGCTTTTTACTTCTCTGGAATGCTTGCTCTTCTTCAGATGTCCAACGCCAGCGGGCTCCTGCCCCCAGCAAGCAGTTCAAAGGATACAACACATCCGAGAGATTTGGCATGAACCTTCTATAAAAGTTGATCAAGCCCAAGTAGCTTTGCAGTTCCTTCACATTCCGAGGCACTGGTGCCTCCAGTACGGCTTCTGTCTTGGTTGGATTTGGCTGAAGACCAGCGGAGCTGATGATGTGCCCCAGATACTCCACCTTGTCCGCCATGAACTCGCATTTGGACAGCTTCAGCCGCAGTCCAGCTTTCTTCAGTCGCTCCAGGACCTGGCACACATTTGCACAATGGTTGCTGTCGTTGGTGCCGGTCACGAGTATATCATCAAAGTATACTGTGACATGATCAAGGTCGTCTAGGAGGTTCTCCATCGAGCGTTGAAACAAAGCTGGATCTGACGACACCCCCAACGGAAGTCTGGTAAATTGACTCAAACCCTTCGGGGTGTTAATGGTAACAAACTTTTGCGAGTGTTCGTGCAACTTGACCTGCTGGTATGCATCTTTCAGATCGAGCTTCGTAAACTTGACTCCCCCCGTTAGCCTTGCGAACAGCTCCTCGATGCGAGGGATTGGGTACGACTCGAGAACCGTCACAGGGTTGACTGTTATCTTGAAGTCGCCACACAAGCGAACACGGCCATCCCGCTTCACTACGGGAACGATGGGCGCCGCCCACTCGGACGTCTTCACTGGTCGAATGACGCCCTCGCGCTCCATCCTCAGCAACTCCTCAACAACTCTGTCTCGTAACACGAACGGGACGACTCGCGGCTTGAAAAATCTTGGTTTAGCACCCTCCTGTATGGTAATCTGGGCGGCCACGCCATCAAAGGTACTCAGTCCTTCTGAAAATACTTCATGAAACTGACTCACCGCTTCCTCCACGGACGTCACAGCGTTGACGACTTCTGGCTTGACGATTCCTGGCTTGAATTCCCTCATGCAGCTTCTTCCGAAAAGCGTAGGACACGGGCCCTTTACGACGAACAAGGGCAGAACGCGCTCGTTCTCGCCCACCTTCACGGTTGCCTGACACTTGCCCGCCACAGGCTTCATGTCGCCAAAAAAACTTCTTAACTGGACGTCCGATGGTTCCAGCGTCGCCGAAGGAAACAGTTCCGTAAACTTCCTTTCGCTAATGGTTGACACGCTGGCACCGGTATCCAACTCCATGTTCAATGTCACTCCGTTGACGGCAATTTCGACTCGCATTGGCTCTGGTCCGGCCGCTTGAAGTGTCCAAACGTCGTACGCCTCCTGTGTTTCTGATTTGGATTCCGGCGCTGCTAGCTCGTCATCCACGTTGTGGACAGGTCTCGATCCATTCCTGGGTCTCGCCTTTTCCGTTTGACATGTATTGGATCGGCATACCCAGGCCAAATGCCCGCTCTTCTCACACTTGAAACAGACGCTGCCTGCGTGACGACATTGGTGTGCTAGATGATTACCCCCATAGCGGAAGCAAGAACCACTTGCCTGCTGTTTGGTGGGCTTAGTCTTGACAACATTCGCAGACTCCCCGGTCTGCACAGGTGTCGTTGAGCCAGTTGAGAACGTAATGCTCGGGAATCTTTCTTGGCAGCCTCCATGGCGATTACGGTGTTCCTCGCGGTCTCAAAGTCCAACTCCGCCGTTTCCAGCAGGCGAGTCTGCATTGCGACGTCGTTGATTCCGCTCACGATTTGGTCCCGTAGCATGCGCTCCCGAAACGATGCGAACTTGCAGTCTTCGGCAAGCTTCTTCAGCGATGCGATGTACTTGTTTACAAGCTCTTCGTCCCGCCGATGCCGAGAAAAAAACTTGAAGCTGGCCACCACCTCCGATACCCTCGGCGAGTAGTGCTTGCTCAAAGCTTCGAAAATCGCAGCCAATGTTGCATCGGCAAGCTTCGTAGGGGCGAGCAGGCTCCGCAGCAGCGAATAAGTTTCTGATTCGCAGCACGTCAGAAACACGGCAGTCCTCTTCGTTGCAGCGATTTCGTTCACGGCGAAGTACAATTCTACCCGTTCGCGATACTCGGTCCAATCCGACGTAGCCGAGTCGAACGGTTCCACGTTCCCGATGACAGGCATGGCTGCTGAAGTCGAAGCAGGACGAACAGGTAAGACGTGCGCGACCGTTCTTTATCGCTCGTCGCCAGTTGTGATAATCCACGCCAGGCACGCTGCCGGAGTCAAGTTCAGGGA